GTAAGCATGATTTTAAACATATTTTCATGAACAAAATTACTGTCCCCCTCAGTACGTTGGTACAGATTTGCTGACCCCAAGCTCCGCAGAATAAAATGGGTGACACCCAAACTGGACATGCAGCGCGTTTAGCAAATTTACATATTTAAGGTGACCCTTTTCACTTTCGCCTAAACAATCCTAAACTTTGTAAATAATGGACTTGATGTCAGAGGTAAATTTCATTTTCTCATGTAACGCGTCAATACATCGATTTGCTATGCTTGATGTGACGTCTCAACTACACTAGCTTCACGCTCTTGAGGCTGTTCCTCCAACAGTTAACTGTTACTTTACCCTCGTAAAATTTCACACAGAAAATCAAAACAAAATGATGATAGTCTGTTGAGTAACTTTATTAGTTTGGAGACAAACGTTATGAAACATATGTTTCCAGAGTTGGTCTGATGTTTTCATTACATTCTGCGCTGAATGTTTGACCATGAACCGATTTGGTGTTAGATTGTGATTCATCGGCATCATGCTGACCCAAACAGACTGGAATCAACTTTTCTCCTTAACACTGTGCTTACATTTAACATTTCACGGCATATTAATTAGTCTGACGTTTCTGGGGTCCGTCATTTTTGTCAGTGCATGCATTTAAAAGGAAAAACAACACAAACACACAAACAAAATATAAATATACACCCCCAAACAAACAACAACAAAAAACAACAACAAAAACAAAACAAAAAACAAACAAAAACAACCCCCAAAAACAAAACAATAAAAAATAAACCAAACCTCCCCAAAAAAGCCCCAACCATAAACAAAAATAGAAACCCAAACAAAACAAACCCCAAAACAAAACAAAACAAAACACACATCAACAACACCCCCCAAAAACACAAAAAACAAACAAACAAAAAACAACAACAACAAAACAAAAACAAAACAAAACAAAAAGAAAACCTATCGGGATCGGGTGGTCAGGCTGCCCAGATCGATGCTCATGCTGTTGATCACTGGATTGTCTGATCCAGCCTCGATTATTTGCAGACCTTCGCCATATAGCGGTAATATTGCTTAGGTCTCCACCAAAGTCGAATTTAACTGCCGAACCATATTTGTACGTTTTGATATAAACTGTATTCTTGATCAGCATGCTTTGTTTCATAACCATTTTCTCCACCCGCCAATATGTGCAAGCCTGTCTACTCTCTGCTTGTCATTTGAATAACAACTTCCATCAACTACGTCTGTCAACTGATAATCTGGATTCCATGTCTGTACTAACGCCTTCGTATGATAAATATACTGAACATCATTGAAAACGCACCACCTGTAAATTTTGAAATATGGTAATAGGATTGTTTGGAGAGTGAAAATGAACGTTGGAAATGTTGTTAATAACACAAAAGACAATAAATAATGCTGAACAGTAACGAACGGATTGCCCGAACACATCATGGAACACATCACATGACAACAACAAAATTCATGCACAACACACACGAAAAGCACAAATTGCATGCGTAAAACATGCTGATTATGGGTATAAATGACCGTCGGCAAAAAGCCGCTCTCATTTTAGCTGTACCTCCGCAAGTAAATTTTATTTTGCAATGCAAATAGGAACGAGAACGGGCGTTGGGCATGTTGCAGGTTGGCACATCAAGCAGGATTATTGCTAGACCATTTGGTTGCCATCATTCCACCATCATAAGACTTGCCAACAGGCACCAACAAACAGGAACCACCAGGGACCGCCAACGTCCCGGCCCATGTACGTGTTACCACCCCTCGCCAAGATCGAGACATTGTTCGGCGCCATATTCGGGATCGTACGTTGCCGGCTGCCAGAACCGCCAACGCTGTCCAAGGTCGACGTGGTTTGATCATTGCGTCCACCGTCCAATGCCGTCACCGTGCGGCAGGATTACGGTGTCGACGCCCTTATTTTGGACCCATCCTGACTGATAGACATCGCCGTGAACGCCGACGATGGGCTGAACAGCATCGTTTGTGGTTGTTACGACGTTGGCATGGTGTTGTGTTCTCCGACGAGTCACGTTTTCACTTGCGAAATGATGACGGGCGTCTACCGGTATGGCGTCGACGGGGAGAACGTTACCATCAGGACTGTGTTGTGCAAACCGATCGGTGGGATGGAGGAAGCATTATGGTGTATGTGTGTGTGTTTTTTTCCTGTGTTTTTTTGTTTGTTTGATGTTGTTTTGTTTGTTTGTTGTTGTTGGTTTGGTTGTGTTTTGTTTGTTTGTTTGTTGTTGCTTTTGTGTTGTTGTTGGGGTTTTTTTTTGGGGAATCAGTAATCATCACAAAACCGCTCTGATTGTTTGTCGTGGCAGAGTGAATGCCATTTTCTACCGTGACACCATTCTTCAGAACAACGCCGTTCCCTTCTTTAACCAACATCAAGATCTGCACACATTCCAGCAGGACAATGCTCGAGCGCACACTGCACGTGTTGCAACACAGTTTCTGGCAAACAACAACATTCCTCTACTTCCATGGCCTGCATTGTCACCAGATTTGTCTCCCATTGAACACTTGTGGGATTACATCGGCCAACGCCTCTCACGTCACCCACAGATCAACAACCTTTGGGAACTTGAGAATGCCTTGCAACAAGAGTGGAATGCATTGCCTCAAAACATTATTCAGAGACTTATCAGTTCAATGAGGAGACGTTTTGCACAGCTTGTGTTGCTGCTAACGGTTGTCATACATGTTACTAACTTTCCTAATTTGACTCCATCTTTCTTTCATGGTCAGCTGAATTAAAACTTCACTGTTTTGCTGGATTGGTTTCTTGTTTCTTTTCTTTACCAATCATTGGACTACAAAAGTATGTAAAATTTACACCGATTGCTCATTTATGCTCTTGGAAATCCAAACTAATACAGGTGGTGCGTTTTCAATGATGTTCAGTATATTTCTTCACTCCATCTTTTAAAGGAATGCCCCCAAATGGTATATTCTGACTTGATCTCCGACTTCGGATATAAATGATTTCATTTTCCATATATATTTATTTCTTTTATTATTCTTTTATTACTTTTATTCAGGATATGTGGGGGTCTGTGATTATTGTCTATGACGAAATCTTATAAAATATCCAAATACTGAGGTCTGGTTGTGACTGAAATATCTGTCCATGGTGGCCGTGAGTACATAGGACACCTTGGGAGGCTTTGGTTTCATTCTGTGTCACATACATGTGGCAGCGTTAAGTTATGCCTTTACTTTCCAAAGAAGCTCTGAGTTTCTCATTATTCTTTCTTACCCGTGATGATCCGGGTTAGAATTGGTCTCCAGTACCTATGCTTGTCGTAAGAGGCGACTAACGGGATCGGGTGGTCAGGCTCCCTGGCTTGGTTGACACGTGTCATCACATCCCAACTGCGTAGAACGATGCTTTTTATCACTGAATTGTCATGTCCAAACTCGATTATTTGCAGACCACCATCATATAGCTGGAATATTGCTGAGTGCGGCGTTAAATATCAATAAATCATAATTCATTACTCTTTCTCTCCTATATCTAATCTTAGAATATGAGGTACAGTGTGGCATGTGAAAATATCACTTCATAGACCTAAGAACAGCATCTTGTGTTTATTCTCCAAAGACTCAAATCTTCGAAGCTGGACACTTCTTAAGACGAGTGTAAAATTTCGTAAATTAAACTGCGCTATTCTAATAATGACTGACTGACTGACTGAGTTTAGTTTTTTTCGCCGCTTTTAGCAATATTCCAGCAATATCACGGCGGGGGACACCAGAAATGGGCTTAACACATTGTGCCCATGTGGGGAATCGAACCCGGGTCTTCGGCGTGACGAGCCAACGCTTTAACCACTGGGCTACCCCACCGCCTCTATTCTAATAATGAGAACTAAATCTGTTCTATAGATACAAGTGGATACGAGTAACTGTTTGACAACTCCAACACGAACAGCGCAGCGCATGCCTAAAGACGGGCGTATTGATTAACAGTTTCCAAGAACTATTGACTTTACTGGAAAAAATAAAATTCACCGAATCCCAGATCGAAAGCAGTGTGCTAGTATAAAAACAACAGTTACATTGTTAATTAAAACATTAAAAATTGTGATAGTATAAAGTGATGTTGCAAGGAAATTACTTGTGCCTGAGTGCTGAATATTTAGCAACAGATTCTTCAATGTTTGTACTTCATGGAAAGTAATGCTATTTACCCAACATTTTTTTCACACGGGTTTCCACTGGCAATTGTACATTTTACTGAGAATGGCCGCTTATGTGATGTAAACTGACATCAAAATGCTCTCTCTTTGCAATATGCTACAACAAGGTCTGACATGAGGCTTGATATATAAAAGGTTAAAGCACTTTCTCCTTCCTTCGACAAGCATGGTTAAAGCAGAGATGATCTAACACGACATTGCTCTCGGACTTTAAGGGGTGTCTGTGCGTGCGTGCGTTCGTGCATGCGTGTGTGTGTGGACACCAGAAATTGGCTTTACACATTGGAACCATGTGAGGAATCGAACCCGGGCTTTCGGCGTGACGAGCGAACACTTTAACCATTAGGTTACCCTAACCTTACAAAATTCACAGCCACACTCAAGATAGATCAGATGAATGACATTCTAACTATTACAACTGCAGATTTGTGTTTGAGGAACCGCACTATTTTTCCTCATGATGTCAACATTCCACCGGCTTACATTTCATAATGACAAAGGGAATGGCATGAAACAAGGCATCTGAATCATATTCAACTGGAATGGATTAATGTATCTCAACGATTCTAGCTCATATATTGATCGTCGTGTAGAGCATGTAGCTGTTAGAGCAGCCATCCAGGGACAACAAATGTTGTTAGGCAAATGTTGTTGAGTTGCCATAACAGTACTGACGTCATTATTCAGTATATATAGTGCAGACGCATTAACGTGTGCAGGAAGACCCAACTTGCCGCGACATCAACAGTACACCAGCAACGTTTCGACATGGCAGAGGCACCAAGCTTTAAATTAGGTAATTACAATACTCTTTACTTACTTCTCAAACAGATTCGCATATACACTGTATAGGTATGCTTACCTCGATCACATGAAACAAGGTATCTGAATCACAATCAAGTGGAATGGATTAAATTATCTCAACCATTTTAGATCATATATTGTTCATCGTGTAGAGAGTGTAGCTGTTAGTGCAACCACACGGGGAAAACAAACGTTGTTAGGCAGAGTTGCCATAACTGTAACAACAGCAGTATGAAGAAAAGCAAAGACATTTTCACTCATTTTCCATATATGTAATGGAAGTGGGTGGTAGAAGGCCGTTTGACCATTAATGAACCACATTTCGATAATCTGAAGCCCCAGCCCAGCCCAGCCCAGCCCAGTCCAGCCCAGCTTTACAGCAACCACTCCACACCACTCTGGATCAATCCTGCACAAGCAAAGATAATCTCAGTGACAAAGAACTTTCAAGGAAAACAGCTTTGTTCCAAATTGATGTCCTTCAACTTCAGAAAAAACTGTCAATGCTTAAATTAGAAAAGATGAGGACAGATCGATCTGAAAAGTGAATGCAAGAACCATGTTTGTACATGTTAACCAATATCTAACTTGCATTACTATGGGGGTAACATTGTCAGAGATGTCGAAGGTACTTTTTAAAAATAGTTATTGTCTGATCGTTGCCATTGCTGTGTCAATGAAGCATCATCAAGGCACTATGAATGACTATCAATGGGAAGTTCTGTAGATCCATCATAATTACCTATTTGTAATGTAGCTTATTGTCTTTAACATAAGTCACATAAATTACTACTTTTTGGAACATATGTATGTGTATAATTCCAATGTATTGCATTAGCATAGGGGTGACATGGCTAGAATTATTTAAGGTTCTTTTTAAATATATTTATTGTATTGATTTGCATGCAGTTTTTGAGTAAATATTGCTACATACACCGAAGGTGAACATTTGTCCGTATCGCTGTTCATAACAATGTTAAGTGTGAAATCGTACCTGTGTGTGTTTCGCAAAATGTCTTTTGAACTTAGTCGCCCAGATTGTTGTTTCTGCTATACCAGTGAATCATCAACAAGACACTATCGATGTGTGTGTGTGTGTGTGTGAGAGAGAGAGAGAGAGAGAGAGAGAGAGAGAGAGAGAGAGAGAGAGAGAGAGAGAGAGAGAGAGAGAGAGAGAGAGAGAGAGAGAGAGAGAGAGAGAGAGAGAGAGAGTGAACTGCGTTACTCAAACATGGTCTGTACATCAAATAGGCGCGACAGAACGTTTCCCATATTCATATAAAATCTTCCTTCCATTCGTTTCTTAGGTAAAATCAAGTTCAACCATTTGGCTACAGACAATGGCTACAGTGACTGTTTTACATTCGTTCATTCTTCCAATTTTCATCACTATGTTACCTTAAATCCTCATAGAATAACTACCTATTGCTATCTCGTCTTTACGTTTAGTCTTTATGTTACAAACGTTACGTTATCCCAGGTTATGCTTCCAATTGTTAGTTGTGTAAAGGAAGTTTACGTGCTGTACCTCTACACCTTTCTATTTCAGAATATGTGAAGAAGCTGTTTCGCAGAGCTGAAGAACACTGTAATAACCTAAACACTAGGGATCAAGTGTTTACACTCTATCGCAACAAGCCATCCTCCTATTTTGAAGACATCAAGAGAAAACACGATAACATCATGAAACCTTACCTGAAGGACCATGGCGGGGATCCACGCTGTCCCATAAACAGGACACTGGAGGGTCTGTTCTTCGGGGTGACCCTTTGGGAAGGAAAGCTACCAACCAAATCACCATACGGAGACACCAGAATGCTGGTTCCCTTAGAAGGACTCTTTGATGACTCTGCCAGGCTGTACTTCGCTGATTTCTACTGTATGCGTGGTCAAAGGAAGAATCATTACGTCACATTGGTCATTACAGAGCAAGGTACAGCAGCTGACAACTTCTGTGAGAATCACCTTGTTAAACTGGATATACGAAAAAACACGTTTTTGATGATGGAAGGAGCATATGCCTGGACTCCCCGGCAGGACAAAGTATGGGTTGAAGTCTTCTATACTAATGAAGTGAACATATTTGGGCTGCGACTTACCAAAACTGAAGTGATCGGGAAAGGAAGCAGCACAGGAGGCATACCTAAATCAAGTGATTGTAACATATGCAATGTAGAGCTCAGTGACAAAGAACTTTCAAGGACAAAAACATTGCAACAGATTGATGTCTTTCAACTTCAGAAAGAACTGTTAATGCTTAAATTACAAAATATGAGGCAGGCCACATCTGATGAGTGGTACAAGAGCCATGTTTGTACATGATAACCAAAACTAGCTTTATTCATTACTATGGGGTAACATGGTTGAGATATTTAAGTTACTTTTATAAATAGCTATTGTATTGATTTGTTTCTGAAGAGATGTTGCTACATACTCTGAAAGTGAACATTTGTGAACGTTTGTGAAGTGCTGTCTGTATCGCTGTATTGCTGTATCTCGCAAAAGGAAGTGTCGTTTGAAGGTCTTCCAGGAGTCGTTGTCATTGCATTTGCCATTGACTCATCAACAAGACACTATCAGTGACTACTATCAACAAGTTTTGTAGATTCATCGTAATTCACTATTTGTAATGTAACTTATTGCCTTTAACATGATTCACTGTTTTGATTATTACTGCTTTTGCAACATATGTATAATGTATGTGGATAATCACAATGTATATAGGCCCTTTTTACAAAAAGCATAATAATAATTTAACTTTGACTTCCCTTTATGTAAACTAAGGGAAACAAAGAGGCTGTATTTTCAGTTTGATACCCGCAGTAGGGCATATATAAACCCTTTCGTGAACACTCTGGTGTCATAACTTTACATTGATCCATCCATGCTGTAATTTTCACCGCCATTTGCACTTTACGGATGATTGAATCTGTTTCTGAGGATACTCGAGACTGAGTGTTCTTTTGCACTCATGCTTTTTTTTTAAAGTGGATGTAAATTTTATTGGAATATATAAACAACAATTCAATGATGCAATACAGAATCCATGTTTATTTATCATCGCGATGTTACATGGAAACAAATAGTGCACTTCTGTAAATGTGCAACTTTCATAGTATAATGTTTGTAATCTACCTTTGGACACTTGAGAAAATGAATAAAGTTTCCTGAACAAAAATTCCTGACCTTGTTGAGTTACCTAGGCGGAGAACAGACCAAAGAGACTATTCGTCACCACTCGCCCTTTCCGTAACCTCCAAGGAGACTCGTCCCCGTCTCGATGCTTGTTATGTGTGAAAATACGACAAACCAATCAGAACGCTCGTAATGAATGCGGTGCTTGCATAAAAATAATCCCGAGTACTTAAATCGTTCATGGCATTATGTGCTTGTTTTAAAAAATCACGAAATATATATATCGTTATATTGACAATACAAAGAACACAGTTAACATAATTGTGGTGCCTAATGTGTTTTAAAACATATAAGAATAATGCCATGGACAGCTGAAAGATTCAAATACACGCACGTGCATTTGTTTACATAACGAGGGCGGTGGGGTAGTCTAGTTGTTAAAGCGTTCGTTCTCACACTGAAGATCCGGGTTCGATTCCTCACATGGGTACGAAGCCCATTTCCGATGTACCCCGCCGTGATATTGCTCAAATATTGCTAAAAGCGGCGTAAACCCATCTCACTCACTTACTGTTTACAAACGGTTCTCATGGGTGCAACTCAGGTTTTTGACGATCCTGCGGGCTGGTTTTAAAGATTATGTCCACTTTCCGACATTTTAGGAAACATAATTATAAATCGATGCGACTTATATATATTGTATAATATATAACTAATCAACTTTAACACTGGGTTCACATTTAACATCTCTGGGGATATTTTAGTCTGACGTTTCTGGGGTCCTTCATTTTTCTTTAGTGTATTCATTTTAAAATCCCAGCAGGGGTTTGAGAGCAAGGTTACACGAATGTTCAGTTTGGAAAGTATTTTCAAATAATTTTTTAGTATCTGTTATGGAATTTAATGTAGCTGAAAAAAGGTATTATTTGCATATTCCATAAAACAAATATGCTGTCTTTTTATAGTTATTACAGGGAGGTTTACTTCATCACAGGAAATGAATCTCTCATACCAGAAATATACCAGCGTTGCTGGAATCTGATGTGCAAGAGATTGATACGTCACTTTTCTGTCCACAGGGGAACTAAATAAGGTTACGTTATAAAGAACAATGACTTTCTGCTTCATGGAAACACGTTTTGGAACAGCAGCATACTATTCTTGTGGTGGGAGGTACAGTGAATAGTTGACTGACACGTTTGTCATCCAGTTTAAGTATGTTGTTCTCCGGCCATTCATCCTCTTTGTCTCGACGATCATATGGAACCCAATTGCAGACCCGTGAAGATCCAGGTGAGAATTGGTCTTCAGCAACCCATACTTGTCGTGACAGGCGACTTAAGGGATTGGGTGGTCAGACTTGGTCGACACATGTCATCGTATCTCAGTTGCATGGATCGATGCTCATGCGGTTGATCACTAGATTGTGTTGATAGTAAAAGCTAGGGAAAGATCTGTCTCCGAATGTCCCCGAAAGTTTTACATGAATCTGTCCTATCAGGCCGAGAGACCAAAAGACCCGTGGAGATCCGGGTTAGAATTGGTCTTCAGAATCTATGCTTGTCGTAAGAGGCGACTATCGAGATGGGGTGGTCAGGCTCGCTGACTTGGTTGACACATGTCATCGTATCCCAATTGCCCAGATCGATGTTCATGCTGTTGATCACTGGATTGCCTGCTCGAGACACGATTATTTACAAACCGCCGCCTTATAACTGTAATATTGCTGAGTGCGGCGTTAAACAACAAACAAACAAAACAACCGCCAGATATATTTCATTTTGAGCAGCAATTATTCACGTAGGAGACACGTAATGCTTAGGTCCGCACCAAACACTAATTTAACTTTAGAACCATATTTGTACGGTTTGATATAAACTTTACTTTTGATCAGCATGCTTTCGTTCCATAACCACTTTCTCCACACGCCAATGTGTGCAAGCTTGTCTACTCTCTGCTTTTCATTTGAATAAAAACTTCCTTGTACCGCATCATCAGCTACATCTATCTACTGATAATCTGGATTCCATGTCTGCACTAACGCCTTCGTAGGATAAATATTTTTTAAAGGCATACCCCAAATTGGACATGATCTCCGACTTTGAATATAAATGATTTCATTTCAGCTTTCGTTCTCCTTTTGTTTGAAAGATTAATGTATTGTCCTTCCATATAATTTTAATTTTTTCATTTTCATTCGTATATTATTTTTACTCATGGATCTGTGGGGTCTGTGATTATTGTCTATGGCGAAATCTTTTAAAATATCCAAACTGCTTGTGACTGAAATATCTGTCCATGGTGGTCATGGGAGTACATAGGACACCTCTGGAGGCTTTGGTTTCATTCTGTGTCACATACATGTGGCAGTGTTAAGTTATGCCTTTACTTTCCAAAGAAGCTCTGACTTTCTCATTGTTCTTATTTACCCGTGATGATCCGGGTAGGAATAGGTCTCCAGTAACCCTTGCTTCTCGTAAGAGGCGACTAACGGGAACGGGTGGTCAGGCTCGCTGACTTGGTTGACACGTGTGTTGTGCTCTTAAACGCACAATGATGTTATTCTGTTTGGTTGGAGAGTTATGATAAGTCAGGACTGAGCAATGACAATATTGACATGTCAATGTTTCCATCGCAACGCTAGGTACCGTGGTTGTTCTCGAGGAGGCTTTCTCGCTTGAACTCCTTCACCGTGGGAAGTTGCGTCGCAAAACTTCAATACAGCACATTATATTGAATAAACAGCACGTATACTTCATGTTTACATATACCTCATATGCATATTGTAGCTGTCACATCGTATAAGGCAATAACAGACGAAGCAGCATAGGTCAACTCCCTCTACTAGTTCCGCGGAAGATACTGTGCCGTGTATGTGACGTAGTGACATAAGCTCCGCCCACTCATGAATATTCATGAGTTCTGTGCACTTAAGACCATTGTGCTTTTAAGGGCACAACACACGTGTCATCGCATCCTAATTGCGTAGAACGATGCTTATGCTGTTGATCGATGAACTGTCTGGTTCCTGACTCGATTATTTGCAGACCATGTTAGAGCTGAATGCGGCGTTAAACGACAATAAATCAATCAAATAATTCATAACTCTTTATCTCCCAATATCAGATCTTAGAATATGAGGTACAGTGTGGCATGTGAAAATATCATGTTATGTACCTAAAAACAGCAGCTGGTGTTTATTCTTTAAGATTTCCGTGTAAATACACTAATACCTGTAGAGAAGTACTTGACACCGTCATTGCTATATTAGATATACCAATCTTGTCGATGTAACATCTGTCTTTCAATCCAGCGGGTATTACCCTGTTCTGCTTGGACTACAAGTACTTTTAAGGTACAATCTTCGAAGCTGGACACTTTGTATAAAACTTTGTAAATTAAATTGCGTTAGCCTAATAATTAGAACAAAGACTATCCTATAGATACAAGGTGATACGAGTAACTGGTTGTCAACTCCAACACGAACAGCACAGCGCATGCATGACGACGGGCGTATTGATTAACAGTTTCCAAGAACTACTGACTTTTCTGGGAATCTCAAATTCTCTGAATCTGAAATCGAAAGCAGTGCGCCAATATCGAAACAACAGTTAAGTTAGTATTTAATACATTAAAAACTGTAAAGAAGTACTTGTATCTTTCAAGTACCATCTTCGAAGCTGGATACTTCTTATGTCATGCGGGGCGGTGGGGTAGCCTAGTGGTTTGAGCGTTTGCTCGTCACGACGAAGGCCCGGGTTCGATTCCCCACATGGGTGGAATTTGTGAAGCTCATTTCTGGTGTCCCCCGCTGTGATATTGCTGGAATATTGCTAAAAACGACGTAAAACCATACCCAGTCAGTCAGTCAGTCTTATGTGATGTAAACTGGTATCAAATTGCTGTCTTTTTGCAATATGATACAACTTAGCAGGGCCTGAAAGAGCTTGGTGTTCAGGATAATAGAATATGACAAATATGTTCTTCCTGCGTGGCTAAAGATGAAATGATGTAAAACGAGATTGGACTCAGGGTATCATAAGCACAACTAACTATTACAACCGCACTGTCGTTAACTGGACCTATTGCTATTCATTGTTAGTCCAAACGTTCCTGGCGTCAGCATCCCACCGGCTTACATTTCAACATAACAAAGGGAAGACGTCATTCAGTATTTATAGTGCCGACACATTAACGTATGCAGGTAGAGCCAACTTGTCACGACATCAACAGTACACCTGCAACGTTTCAACATGGCAGAGCCACCAAGCGCTGTTTCAGTCAAATCCCGATGAGTCGAATGCTGGTGTCTCGAATATTATGCATAACTCGAAGTATTTACAATACTCTTTATTTACTTCACAAACAAATTCGTAAAATACACTGCATAGGCATGTCTACCTCAATGACATGAAACAAGGTATCTTAATCATATTCAACTGGAATGGATTAATATATCTCAACCATTCTAGCTCGTATATTGTTCATCGTGTAGAGAGTGTAGCTGTTAGAGTAACATACACGGAAAACAAACGTTGTAAGGCTGAATTGCCATAACAGTAACAAAAGCTGTTTGAAGATAAGCAAAGGCATTCACACACGTGTTATATGTATAATGGAAGTAGATGGCAGTAGACTGTTTGGATATATATGAACCACATTTCAATATACCTGAAGCTTAAGTTAAAAGTCTTAGTCTGTTCCCTTGTCAGAGTTTACCAATCCGAGCGGAACCTTCTATTTGTCTTCATGATGACCGAGTGAGTGAATTGGAGTTCACGCCGCCTTTTGCAATATCCCAGCATATTCGCAGCGGGGTAGACCGGAAATAAGATTCACACAAGGTACCCATGTGGGTAATCGACCTGGGCCTTCGTCGTGACGAGCGAACTCTTTGACCAGTAGGCTACCCAAGCCCCATTAAGCCACGGATAATCAAGGAGACACATTCACATTATCAATATGGATGTCCAACGAATTAATACATTATTTTCTAAGTTAACTTCAGATGACAGATTTGATGACCGAGATCTAAGAATATCTTTTGTCACCACGTTCAGTGACAGAAACCCAATGGAACAAAGAAGCTTTCCACTACGCTTGTGTGTGATGGTTGTGTAAAAATCAAATGTTTTGAGTGAATTAACTTGGTTCTTATCTAAGATTGTAAAAGATCAAACAAGTACATTAAGTGTTTGGGAATATTTCGTATTCATTCAACAACCATAAAGATAAACAATCAATACATATTTCTCAGTTCAATAAACACTGATGTGACTAAATATACTGCTTGTTTACTTTTCCATATGATACCCATGTTTTATACAGGTTTAGTTATTATTTCATAATTTGCGCTAATAACTAATATATGTACGACACACTGTACTGTCAACCAAATGGTTTGAAATACTGAATGAAATGTTAGTTTCTGTTAACACATCTATCCTGAAACATTTTACTTAACGTGTCACTGGAACAAAAACAAGTTGTTTTCCTGAAGGTTAACACTTGGTTGATGAATCACTTTTGATTTTTGTCACAGATACTTATTGTTGTAAATACATTCATTTCAGATCATCTTCAAGCACTACATACTAAGGCCGAATATCACTGTTCCAGCCGGTCTTCCGAAACAGTCAGTGTCCTTTACCGCAATAAACCTGCTGACTATTTCAAGCAACTTGTAAATAAAACCATGATGCCACAACTGAAGGACAACGGCGGGGATCCACGCTGTCCCATAAACGGGAGACTGAAAGGTGTGTTCTTCGGGGTGACCCCTTGGAACGGTCGGCTACCAACTAAATCCCCATTCGGAGACACCAGAGTGGTGGTGCCCCTAAAGAGACTCTTTGATGACTCTGCCAGGCTGTACTTCGCCGATTTCTACTGTATGAAAGATCAAAGGAAGAATCACTACGTCATATTGGTCCTTACAAAGAAGGATACAAAAGCTGACAACTTCTGTGAGAAGCACCTCATTCGTTTGGATGAACGAACCAACGTGTTCCTGAGGAAAGAAGAAAGCACCTATAAAACTCTCCGGCAGGGCAACGTATGGGTTGAAGTCTTCTATACAGATGAAGTGGATATATTGGGGCTGGCGCGGACCCAAACTGGATTGATCGGGAAAGGAAGCAGTACAGGAGGCATAAGTAAAACACCTAATTGTAAAATATGCAATGTAGATCCACAGACTGATGTCCCTGACCTTCAGAAAACAATGTCAATGCTTAAATTAGAAAATTAGAAAGGACAAGGACAGATCAATCTGAAAAGTGAATACAAGAACCATGTGTGTACATGATAACCAACATTTGGCTTTATGCTTTACTATAGGGGTAACATTGTTTGAGATATTGAAGGTACTTTTTATAAATAGTTATTTTATTGATTTGTTTCTGAATAAATGTTGCTACATACTCTGAAAGTGAACATATGTGAACATTAGTGAAGTGCTGTCTGTATCGCTGTATTGCTGAATCACGCTAAAAGAAATGTCTTTTGAAGGTGGTTGTCCAGATCGTTGTCACTGCTGTGCCATTGAATCATCAACAAGACACTATCAATGTCTATCAATATAACGTTTTGTAGATCCATAGTAATTCACTATTTGTAATGTAACCTATTGCCTTTAACATGATTCACTGTTTGGAACATAAATTCCTGCTTTTTGCAACATCTGGGTAATGTATATGTATAATTCTAATGTATATGGTCTGGCGGCCTTTTGTACAATAAACATCTTTGACTTTGAGTTTGGTTTGGAAACAAAGAGGCTGTGTTTTGGTTGATACCGATAAGTTGGGCATATATAACCCTTTCGTGAACACCCGGTGTCATCACGAAGTTTCATTGATCCATTCGTGTAATTTTCACCGCTATTTGCACTTTACGGATAATTGAATCTGTTTCTGAGGATACTCGAGACTGAGTATCAATTTGCACTCATGTTTTCCTTTGTATCAAGTGATGTAAATTTTATTGGAAATTTAAAGATAATATTTGTCCATTTAACAAGCATCCAATTGTCAGTATCTCTAAGATGATATTCCAAATGAAACAGCAATTCCATGATGCATACAGAATCTGTCCATGTATATTTATCATGCGATGTTACATGGAAAAAATAGTACATTTCAGTAAATGTGTAACCATCATAGTATAATGTTTGTAATGTACTGTAGGCCAGTTACCTCTTGAGAAAATGAATAAAATATCTGATACCATATTCAGATTGACAAACAATAATTTAGCTTTTAGTAAGAGTGTTTTGCGTGATGACAGTCATGACTGGTTAGTATACATAATGTTCAGAGTGCAGCGTGTTTAAATCAATGTGTGGTTGAAAGGCTGATATGCACAGTGGAGAGCTGTTACTGGTGTCGGGACAGAGTGCCCCGCAAACGGGCCATCGCTGTGAGGAGCTTGACTGAGTCGATTTTTAAGCAACATGGCAGTCGGAGATATCTCGGATAAAAGTAATTGCGCATGATGCAAACATAAATATGTGCTTTCCTGTATGTAAGCTAACTACATCGAGCACATTTCAAACTGTTTATAGAAATTAGCCCACTGTGTTTCCAACTTTCTACATGCACCTTTGTTAATCATAGAAAAGACCGACGGAAGCCTATCTTGAGTCTAATCAATGTATCGATAGATTATTATTGCATATACAATGCATGTTTAAAACCTGTGTTTTATGCTTGAGAGGTGGTTGAAACTTATAAAACAATATCAATGTAACTGTTGTTTGGATATTAGCGAACTTCTTTCGATTCAGATTCAGAGAATTTGAGATTTCCAGGAACGTCAGTAGTTCTTGGAAACTGTTAATCAATACGCCCGTCGGCGACAGGCGCCGTGATGTTTGTGTTGGAGTTGTCAAACGCCTACTCGTATCTCCTTGTGTATTGGCCTTTATTAGATTATAATATGTGTTGTTCAGTTAACACCTATCATTTCTGGGACACATGAAAACTCCACTGTATATTTACTTCGTTAAACGTATTTTGCCTTTATGATATACATATAAGTGTGTGTTAATTTGGGGGTAAGAGTAGGGGTAGGGGTAGGGGAGGGTTTTTGTCTGTGTCTGTGTTTGTGTCTGGGCATTGGGCTATATTGCTAATATGTATATTGTCTGAATTGTTGAAAACAATAATTATGCTTCAGACTTTCGATAAAATAAATAACTGCCGGAAATGCTTCGTGTTTCAATACATTTGGACTACCATTCCATGTAGACTATTTCATATTTTTTTTAAAGTAATTGATGCTTGGGCTTGGATTATATTGCAACTATGTATACTGTCTGAATTGTTGAAAATAATAATTATGCTTCACTCGTTCCGTAAAATAAGTAACTGTCTGTGACAAAATACTACGTAATTAAACATATTTGGACTATATTTCCATTTGGACTATTGTAAATTTTTTGAAAAATGCATCTGGTTTACCCTTGGAAGCTGAAAAATATTTTTGTCACCAAACAAAATCGAAAAATATATTGAGATTCCAATTATATTTTACACATATTATATGGCGCAGCCTCTGCAGCTGAAAAATATTTTGTCGACAAATCAAATCACAGGCCCCTACCAACTACTGAATATCAGACGGTTTGTATCTTAGCTCTGCAATAAAATTGTATTGTTAAAAACAATGTAAGCGTATCCTTTAATCATGTAACACGTGATTGTTCTTCACATGGCTTGCCTTTAATTGTCAGATTACCTGCGTAGGCTGCTGAAGAAGGCTGATACATACTGCAATGGGTTCCCTGCCGAGAGGGTGAGTGTCCTCTACCACAACAAACCATTCTCCTACTTCCAAAATATTCGGAGATACCACAACAACATTATGAAACCTTGTATGAAGGACCACGGAGGTGATCACCGCAGTCCCATAAACGGTAGACTTGTGGGTAGTTTCTTTGGGGTGACCCTGTACAGGGGCGATCTTCCAGATAGGTCACCTTTCGGAGACACCAGAGTGACCGTGCCTTTGACGGAGGTCTTTGATGACTATGCCAACCTTTACTTTGCTGATTTCTACTGCAAGCCCTCGCGATCCCGTATTCACTATGTGACGCTTGTCCTCGCAAAGTCTGGGTCACACTCGGACGATTTCTGTAGAAGACATCTCACCCTGCTGAGGCCTTATGACAACCTGTATTTGAGAAGGGAATACTACTCTAACACTTACCGTTCACTGCGCCGCACTGGTGTAAACGTGGAAGAATTGTATACAGAAGCCATCAACATCTCGAGCAGGCCTACCAGCCTTACTAATGTCGTGGGTCAAGGTCACAGCACCCCGGGTGGTATACAGAAGATTCTGGGATGTGTCATTTGCAATGTAGACTTGGGGCCGATAGGGGTGTCAATAGGGATGAAAATGCATATGGTACAACTGTATATGATATTTTTGTAAACCTGTTAAGGTTTGTCTGGAATTTCCTGAGGTCTCTTTTTCGGTGAACACTTGACTTGTCTTTGCGGGTGTTTGTGACTTCTTCCACCAGTCTGGACGGATGCTCTCTCACCTATTCGCACATCGTGTCATTACTATTTGACTCCTCATTGATTCATTAAGATTTCGTCAGGATATAGTCGACATCGTGCAATCGTCTCAAGTTTCTTCAAATTCTTCTGGAAAGGGTTTTATTCAGGGGATAGAAGCTCTGATTTGCGTCCAAATACACAACAACTGATCAACACAAGGATCAAGTCGAGATAGATTCTGAGATGACAAAACCGTTATTCCTAATTTTGATATGGATAAGCTACATATAAACAATTAAGGTGTCCTATGTTAATCTATTGTCACTGCATCAAGACAGTTGTGAGGAGCTGAAGAATAGGAACAACATGGCCTGTCTGGAAATTCTTCAGGTCTGTCTTTGTTTAGACTCCAAACTTCGTAATATATATACTAGTATGGTTTATGCTGGTTTTATATATACTAGGCACATAAAGAAACTGTGCATACAAAAATTTAAAATCTAAATTTATCAAACCTGTGTAGACACATAAGAATTAAACTCAGAGATTAGTGACATGTATCCAACATGCATGCACGTGCCACGTTCCGTGACGTAAGTGGGTTCGTCCTTGAGACGTGCAATACGTTGTTGCACGTGCATTCCGGGAAAGAGAAACAGAGCAAATTAATGTGGCATACTCAAATATATATATATGTACATAGTTTTAATTAAAGTTTGGAAGATTATATTAAGTATTAAGGTAGATGGCATTGTTTCCATTTAATTACTTATTCTAACATCTGTAAGAATATTAGGTATGTTTTATATGGTAGAATGATGAAATCTTAGTTATGTTTTATACTTCATTTTATTCTCATGCCATAGCTCTGCATAGTAAGCCTAGTAACTCTCAGTCTCACCTCCACTAATTGTCACACTGCATGCTTACAACACTCCTTGCCCCAGCCCTCAGTCAGTTCTATTGTTTCACTGATAGGCCAAGCTGGCCATAGCTTAAACTACAATGTGAAGATTTTAAACTCACATGCTGTCCTGTACTTCGCAAGGAAGGTTACCTTTACAACCAGGGGATCTTTATAAGGATTTTAGGTAGGTTCATATTGTATAAAAGGTTGTATATATATATGGATGGTTTCTTGTTTACTACAATAAGAAATATAATTTATTGTGTAAGTCAGACTTGGTTTACTTGAAATATAATATATCTTATAAATGTGTATAGTTGAAAATGAACTATCAGATCACTGTGTTATTGTGAGTTTATGTATTGTTTATGTATTGAACGCAATTCTAAACATATCAACTAAATATATGGCAATGTTTAGGTAATGACTAGTCAGTATGAATGCATGCCTGTATGTTTGGTATGTGTGATTGATAAACACATATATATATATAAATATTATATATGATTCCATGTTTGATTAGTGTGGCGAATGTAATTGTATCTTATTTTATATTATATCACTTGTATATATATATTGTTCTCTTCATACATATTTATTTGTTATGCAGATCTGTGTTCATTCCGGAGAATATCCTCCCTAAACAGCTTTGGTACAACCAACCTGGTATGTAACACCTAACCAGAAAAAACCCTATATGTATACCAGAAGTGTATTTATTATTAGAATTTCCTAAATGTACCTACAGTATGTCTGTATGATCATTGTATATTTGTATTAATATTATGTAACATTATAACTTGTGACATAGTTCAGATGTATTTAACTAGGTGTATTTAATAGGCTTAACGAGTGATTCGAGCATGTACATATTTTATGTGATTCCATTTAATTCAGTTCCTTATGTTCTTTCAGGCTTTTTAACACGTAGATCTTCTAGAATAAATGTATCGGCCTCACAACCCACAGCCGTTTGTATTCTTTTGCATGGATTCAAACAAGGCGCTGTTATATTGGAGCCCCCAGTGAGGACCCCGACGTTGCTACCACCAACCAGTACCTCCATGTGAAGTTCAGGATCATCTGTCACATCGTCTCAGTGCGAGGTAGCTGTACGTCAGTACATGTAAGCGGCTATTGACACTTATATTCATGTGATGACATGAACTGATTACAGACATTATCAAGACTGTGCTTTTGCCTCGAGTGGATTTCTAGATGCGACGACACTGTGTCTTCAATCCTTCCACACGCGTGATGTCATTTTGATTATCATTTCTGTGCATGTGCTGTATGGTGAGTTATGACATGTAAACCTTAATTTCAACAGGAGCGCTCCGAATTAATACTTAGTTTGCATCAGTTATTTAGTTAGTTAGTCAGTTAGTTAGTAAGTTAGTCAGTCAATCAGTTAGTTAGTTATTTAGTTAGTTAGTCAGTTAGTTAGTCAGTCAATCAGTTAGTTATTTAGTTAGTTAGTCAGTTAGTTAGCCGGTCAATCAGTTAGTTAGTTAGTTTTACTATCATACTTATTTCCCTTAGTGTCTTTATCATATTGCGTCGCTAGATAAGTGCAATAATCTTGAATGCGACCTTAACCCCCAACCCCCTCTCAACGTTCAGTACTCTTTAACTTTAGGAACATATTATATAGTTGTTCATATTTTTTGCATACCAGCCACAGAGTGTGTTATATCTATATATGTGTGTGTGTTTGCGCGTGCAGGTATGTGAGTGTGAATGATATGCCAAAGCTAGTTAGACATTATTACATAAATTAAATACATAATCCATCTTAACATATCTTAACTAAATAAACTGTTAGGTAGTCTGTGCTAGATTACGTGTGGTTCATTCACTTATTCCTGTCAGTTGGTAACAAGCTAGTTGAGGTCATAGTTTTGCAGATACTTGGTGTTAAAATATCATTAGATATTGCAAGAAAGTCATATTTCATGTTGAGCAGTAACCATTTCTGGGAATGAATGAATCATTATGAATAAAAAATGAATGAAAAACACCTGAAACCTAAATTCAGCATCCACAACCAGGAACATTAATTGGTCGCTCACTTATTTTTAAGCTAGTAGAGTAATTACAGTAAAGCGTATGAAGATGAATTCTATTTCGTTTCAGTTTCACGTTTCTACATTTTCTGCGCTGCTATATTTAGCTATTATCGACTATGGAGCGCTGCCATTGGCATTTTTTGCGATCAGTAGTTAAAATAAAGGACACGAGTTGTGCAGCTGATTTTGATCTTAATAATTGTTTGTCGATTAAATACATAGTTGACAGTAAGACGTATAATTCTCCATATTAGTTATCCCAGTTCTGGTCGCAACAGGCGTATTCATTAACAGTTTCCAAGAACTACTGACTTTTCTGGAAATCTCACATTCTCTGAATCTGAAATCGAAAGAAGTTCGCTACTATCGAAACAACAGTTACATTGATATTGTTTTATAGGTTTCAACCACCTCTCAAGCATAAAACACAGGTTTTAAACATGCATTATATATGCAATAATAATCTATCGATACATTGATTAGACTCAAGATAGGCTTCCGTCGGTCTTTTCTATGATTAACAAAGGTGCATGTAGAAAGTTGGAAACACAGTGGGCTAATTTCTATAAACAGTTTGAAATGTGCTCGATGTAGTTAGCTTACAAACAAGAAAGCACATATTTATGTTTGCATCATGCGCAATTACTTTTATCCGAGATATCTCCGACTGCCATGTTGCTTAAAAATAGACGTGGCGTACAGGAAACAAATAAGGCTGTCAGCAATACGGGTATAGAGAACGACTGACTATATGTTCACAGTGGCGTACAAGAAACAAATATAGCCGTCAGCAGTTCGGGTATAGAGAACGACTGACTATATGTTCACAGTTCACAGTGACATACAGGAAACAAACAAGGCTGTCAGCAGTACGGGTATAGAGACCGACTGACTATATGTTCACAGTTCACAGTGACATACAGGAAACAAACAAGGCTGTCAGCAGTACGGGTATAGAGAACGACTGACTATATGTTCACAGTGGCGTACAGGAAACAAATATAGCCGTCAACAGTACGGGTATAGAGACCGACTGACTATATGCTCACAGTGGCGTACAGGAAACAAACAAGGCTGTCAGTAGTTCGGGTATAGAGACCGACTGACTATATGTTCACAGTGGCGTACAGGAAACAAACAAGGCTGTCAGCAGTACGGGTATAGAGAACGACTGACTATATGCTCATAGTGGCGTACAGGAAACAAACAAGGCTGCCAGCAGTACGGGTATAGAGACCAACTGACTATATCTTCACAGTGGCGTACAGGAAACAAATAAGGCCGTCAGCAGTACGGGTATAGAGACCGACTGACTATATGCTCACAGTGGCGTACAGGAAACAAATAAGGCTGCCAGCAGTACGGGTATAGAGACCGACTGACTATATCTTCACAGTGGCGTACAGGAAACAAACAAGGCCGTCAGCAGTACGGGTATAGAGACCGACTGACTATATGCTCACAGTGGCGTACAGGAAACAAACAAGGCTGTCAGTAGTTCGGGTATAGAGAACGACTGACTATATGCTCATAGTGGCGTACAGGAAACAAACAAGGCTGCCAGCAGTACGGGTATAGAGACCGACTGACTATATCTTCACAGTGGCATACAGGAAACAAACAAGGCTGTCAGCAGTACGGGTATAGAGAATGACTGACTATATGCTCACAGTGGCGTACAGGAAACAAACAAGGCTGTCAGCAGTTCGGGTATAGAGAATGACTGACTATATGTTCACAGTGGCGTACAGGAAACAAATAAGGCCGTCAGCAGTACGGGTATAGAGACCGACTGACTATATGTTCACAGTGGCGTACAGGAAACAAACAAGGCCGTCAGTAGTACGGGTAACAAGTATCACACCTGCCTGTCTGTGTAATTACATAATGTGACAGAGACAGAACTCGGGTGTACGAGCCATAAATCAATGTGTTTTGTTTATGGTGTATAGC